GTGAGAGCAGCATCTGCACCACCGCCTCCTCGCCCTCCCTCACCGCCATCATCAGCGGCGTCTCCCCGCTCTTCGTCATGGCGACGTTGGGGTCAGCGCAGTGTGAGAGCAGCATCTGCACCACCGCCTCCTCGCCCTCCCTCACCGCCAGCATCAGCGGCGTCTCCCCGCTCTTCGTCATGGCGACGTTGGGGTCGGCGCAGTGTGAGAGCAACATCCGCACCACCGCCTCCTCGCCCTCCCTCACCGCCAGCATCAGCGGCGTCTCCCCGCTCTTCGTCATGGCGACGTTGGGGTCGGCGCAGTGTGAGAGCAACATCCGCACCACCGCCTCCTCGCCCTCCCTCACCGCCAGCATCAGCGGCGTCTCCCCGCTCTTCGTCATGGCGACGTTGGGGTCGGCGCAGTGTGAGAGCAACATCCGCACCACCGCCTCCTCGCCCTCCCTCACCGCCTTCATCAGCGGCGTCTCCCCGCTCTTCGTCATGGCGACGTTGGGGTCGGCGCAGTGTGAGAGCAGCATCTGCACCACCGCCTCCTCGCCCTCCCTCACCGCCTTCATCAGCGGCGTCTTTCCGGTCTGCGTCTCGGCGACGTTGGGGTCGGCGCCGGCCTCCAGTAGCAGGCGCATGATGTTCAGCTAGCCAGAGCAAGCCGGCGACATGACCCGCGCGTTCCCCCTGGCCACGGCTGTGTGCAGCATCGTTCCGTTGCCACGGTAACGCGTGCGGAATGACCGCATCACGTCTAGCAAACGAGTGGAGTCCCGTAGGCGGTTTCTTGCTGTAAGCTCGACAAGTCTCCGGCAACTCCTGCATCCACGCAGTTTCATCTACAGCCGTCTTGACCCAAACTTGCCACTGGATCCAGATGTCTCTGGAAACGAGAATGCGGATAATGCTGTGCAAGTTATCCTCACTTTAATCTACTTCTGCGCAAGTCATCAGTCATCCTTCATCCTCTATCATTACCAAGTCCTGTGGCGACAGGCACGCGACGAAGTGACAGGTGTGGGTAGACTGGCAGTCGTAGCCGCAACCCTGCACACAGGCGGCTCAGGCCATATGGTCGTTCTTCACTAAAAGGAGCAGCGGTGAGTCCGGCAGTCGTCTGGGCGACTGAGCAGCCATTTTTAGGATCGCACTGCTCACCCCCTTAGCATGAGGAAGGGGCTAGAAAAGGTGCCCTAAACATTACCTGCTCCACGTCACCCTAGCCGGATTACCGTGGCCGGCGGGGGCCCTACACATGCGGGCCAAACAAGACATCAAAGATGAAAGTTAAGATTACACCTCTGAAACTCGCTGCATGGAATGTCCGAACACTCCTTGATAAGAAAGATTTGGACACACCTTAGAGACGCACAGCACTTGCTGGAGTCCCCTACGCTGGATAACAAAGATGTAGAAGCAGCATGGGCCACACTTCGTGAGACAGTGTACAACACAGCCAAAGAGTGTCTAGGGCTCTCCATCAGGAAGCGCAAAGACTGGTTTGATGAGAACTGCACAGAGATAAAACAGCTACTAGAAGACAAATATCCATAATGCACACAAAGCTCACATTGATGACCCAAAGTCAACAGTGAAAAACATGCATTGAGGAATATACGCAGCACCATTCAATGTAAGCTGCACCAGATGCAGGATACCTGTCTGAGTGACAAAGCTGATGAGATCCAGGGCTTTGCAGACAGGAATGATATGAAGAATTTCTACAACGGCCTGAAAGAGATCTATGGTCCCACCACAGCGAGTCTGTCTCCCCTCCTCAGTGCAGATGGGTCAACATTGATTACTAACCAAGACGATATTTTTCAAAGATGTGCTGAACACTTTGAGAGCGTACTGAATCCCCCTTACTCCATCAACGATGAAGCCATTGATCAGCTAGCACAAGTTCCCACTAATGAGACGATAGATGCCGAGCCAATTTTGAAAGAGGTGCAAAAAGCGATTTGTCTGCTATCGAGTGTAAAAGCTCCATGCTCAGACTCCATCCCAGCTGAAGTTTTCAAGGAATGTGGCAAAACTCTAACACAGAGAATTCAACAATTCTTCCAGGTCATATGGCAGCATGTTGAACCAAACATCATCATCAACGGGCATGCAGCGACTAAATGCGCTGGAAAAGTTTACCTATCTTGGCAGTACACTCTCTAGAAATGTTGTAATCGATGATGAAGTAAATAACAGACTAGCCAAAGCCAGTGTTGATTTTGGAAGACTACACAAGAATGTGTGGAATAGGAGAGGCATAAGGCAAGACACAATGATCGAGGTCTATCGCGCCATAGTTCTTACCACACTACTATATGGCTGTGAGACATGGACTGTCTACAAACGCCATGCAAGAAAGCTGAACCACTTCCACACCACCTGCCTCAGGAAACTCATTGGCATAAAGTGGCAAGATAGGATACCCGACACAGAGGTCCTTACCCGTGCAGGTCTGCCTAGCATCTACTCCATCCTGATGCAATCACAGGTTCGATGGGCAGGACAAGACACGTGACCACCAGGCCCGTAGCCAGCTTTATGTTGGGGGGGGGGGTTCTTTTTTCAATGTTAGCAATTTGCTCGGCAGGGGCGTGTACAGGATTTGTACCAGGGGGGGGTCTAACCGTAACCCAAAGTTAGAGCACGCGAAGGGGGGGTCTGGGGGGCCCTCGCCCCAAATTTTTTTTAAATTACACCCCCTCAGATGCGTTTTCTGCGCGAGCAAGGGGGGGTCTGGGGGGCTCTCCCCCCAATTTTTTTAAAATTACACCCCCTCAGATGCGTTTTCTGCGCGAGCAAGGGGGGGTCTGG